CTTCAGCGCCCCCGATAGCTGCAACTCAGGACTCACCCATCACCCTTACCCAAAATCAAGATTGGAGGCGCTCGCAGTGCCGGTTTTGGAATCAGATTTTTGGGAGTTTGACCGAGATCGAGCTGAACGAACCGACCCACTTCAATGCAGCTAGGGGCACGCTGCGTTGTATTGATAGGATATTTGTGTCTGCGCCAGGCTGGTGTCTTACTCAATCTTGCACTGGAGGTCGTCTGCACGGACAGCCTGAGACACTTCGCGATGCGCACATCTCTGGTCACGCAGGTATATCATTCACATTGGCGCCGAGGAAAGACACCAAGCCTGAGGAGCGCGCCATCCCGAATGAGATCTTTCAGAGGCCTGAGTTCCAGGCCAACCAGTCCAAGATTCTGCAGCAAGTGGATCATGAGTTCCTCTCGCCCCCCCTCAAACTCGACCTCCACAAGACGGTGATGCGAGAAGCTGCGAGACTTACGAGAGATGCGATCATCCGACACAAACCTCACGATCCGTTGACCCGACTGATTATACTCAGAACGATATCGCGATCAGTATGGCAGCAAAACGTTCCACTTGCTCGGAGAGTGATGCACACTCACCCGCTTGGCATCAAGTTTATTGCGCTGAGCTGCGACGGTGACCGAGTGGAGCTCAAGGATCCCCCAGTCTTCCAGCTCGCCACAGAGCAAGAGCACTGCCGGTTGTTCGAGTCGGCGAAGGAAATCGCCAACCGCCGTCTGCAAGCTGCTGAATTAGGACCGTCCAAGGCTAAGCTTCGCCAAAGGATTTGAGGACTTCACAAAAGAGGAAGACTATGGGCCCCTGTCGACCGAAAGCTCTGCCTCCAAGGGATCCCCGCGTCCACTGACTCTGAGAAACCCGCTGTCACCTCCCCCCCCAGAGATGCTGAATCTGTTGGCGTCGCACTGGGCCCCAGTATTTGAGGCCAAGGCTACTGATGGTGCTGCTGCACGGCATTATCTGAACCGCTTCGGCTTCGGAGCCGACCTAGGCGATCTACCACCTCCAACACTATATGATATCCAGAGATGTCTTCAGAGGCTTGGTTCCAGCGCCCCAGGACCAGATATGCTCCCATATGATGCTTGGAAAAATCACCCCCAAGGCGCTGAAGTGTTATCAGAAGTTCTTTCCTGGATGCTGGAGGGTAAATCGCTGTTATTTGGATTTAACGAACTTCGCGGAGCCTTTCTTGCCAAAGGAGATGAGGAAGGAGATGATGTGCAGGTTCTTCGACACGCTAGTCAGACTCGTCCGTTCGGATTGAAGAACGCTGGTATTACAATTCTAACCAACGTTTGCTGCCGATCGTTAACTTGTCGGCTCCCCCAGCTTGTCCATCGCACGCAGAGAGGGTTCGTGCCGTCCCGCAACTTTGGCGAGAATGTGCTTGAGCTTGATAAGATGAGCCGCATCACATCGATGGAAGAGGATGTCGGACGGAGGCTTCCCGTGCTGGCGGCCTTCGACTTCGGGCAGGCCATCCCCTCTATCAGCCACGACTGGATATTCCGAGTTCTGAAATCGCTCCATCTCCCTGGGCCTCTTCTGGAGTTCTTGGGTATGATATACCAGGATGTGTGGTGCTGGGGTGGTATCTCGGGCAGCCTGCAGGTCCTCTTTCCCGTCTGCTCGGGGATTATCCAAGGCTGTCCCGCAACAGGAATGTTGTACGCATTGGCCTCGCACCCCTTCATGCGCCACTTCGAGGTGCTGGTGGAAATTCCTGGACTGGGTCTTGTGAGGGCTTGCGCTGGTGACAAGGGTAGTGTTTTATTCGAGCTCACTGCACTCAGAAAACTTTTCACGGCTTTCCAGGCCTGCAAGCGCGTTGCGAATTTAGAACTCGAAGTGAACAAGAAGTGTGTTTTGGTCCCTCTGGTCGGGGAGTGCCCCCCCCCAGATCGAGAACGTTAATCGGCAGTGGCTTGAAAAACATCTGCCAGCCTGGGCGGAGTTTAAAATCGCCAGCCATCTGAAGTATTTAGGCCTACACATCGGACCAGGTGCTGGACAGGCCTCCTGGACTGCCCCCATCGCGAAGTGGACCGCCCGTGCCACTGCCATCGCCGCTGCGGGTGCGCCTCCGCCGATCACGTCGATGCTCTATGATAGCCGTGCCCTGTCCACCCTGTCATATGTCAGCCAATTCCAGCGTCTCCTCTTTAAGGAGGTCGCTCAGATCGAGCACCGACTTTTCGAAATGATGTTCAAGATGCCTCACTGCTGTCTCTCGAGAGCCGACTGGCTCCATCTTCACGAATGGGGTGGCCCCAAAGTGAAGAGCGCCGTCCTAATGAACTTAGCAACGCTGACGCGTGCCGCACTCACCACGCTCAGCATTTGGGCCGAGCTTTCGACAACTCTCGAGCAGCGTGCCCGCGAGTGCCTGCCCATCGCTGCCTTCATCCGAGGGCGGCGTTTCCCCGAATTCTGGTCTGGACCATGTCTGGTCCACGAATTACAAGAAGCAGCAAACGGGTTCCCATCTCATAGGCAGTGGAGATCCGCAGGGCCCAAGGCGGTCGAAGCTGCTAGTTTAGCGATGGCGGAAGGCAACAAAGTCCAGCGTGCTGCTCTCGCTGCCTTCAACACCCACCTCTTCCCCTCCTCCTTCGTTCGTGACTTCACCGCTCGGCTCCTCCACCTCATCCCCAACTCCGCTCAGGCCATTAGGCGCATTCCCTGGGACGAAGTCCGCCGGTGTATTTTGATGTGCCCGACCTCTTGGGGCAACAGCTTCTGCAAAACATGTGCAGGAGCCTGGGCCACCGACAGCCGATTCCAGAAAGATAGGCACTCCTGTGTGTTCGGATGCGAGAGTCCTGACAGGCAGAGTCACTACTTTCAGTGTCGCCAGGTGGACGCTTTGCTTCGCAAAGCTCTGAATATGCCGTTCTTTTCCCACTGCCCTATCCACCGTCTCGGCCTTCTGTCTCCTTCCCCTCTCGGTTTCAGCTATCTTGTCGCCGCCCACCAGCTGCGTTGTCTCGCCTCCTCTCGTCCTTCCCTCCCGTTGAGCCCTGCTGATGCCGATGCCCTGCTCCCCGCCCTTTCCTCTTCCCTCGCTGGGCTGTCTCGGGCTGCCCTTCGAGAGAGCAGCGCGACGGGTACCAGCAGCACTTCCAATACGTCAAGGCAGGAGCGGCCCACTGCGGCTGCCGCCGCCGCCGCGAGCTTTGATGAGGATTGATGAACTAGACCCGATGGTACGAGCGCAGGAGGAGGAGGAGGATGAGGAAGAGGAGCCGCAGGAGGAGGAGGAGGAGGAGGAGGAGGAGGAGGAGGAGGAGAAGAGGAGGAGGAGGAGGAGGAGAAGAGGAGGAGGAGGAGGAGGAGGCGCAGGAGGAGGAGGGGGAGGAGGAAGAGGAGGAGGCGCAGGAGGACGAGGAAGAGGAGGAGGAGGAGGAGGAGGAGGAGCAGGAGGAGGAGGAGGAGGAGGAGTCGGAGATGGAGGAGGAGGCGCAGGAGAAGGAGGAGGAGGAGGAGGAGGAGGAGGAGGAGGAGGAGGAGGATAATGAGGAGGATTCTCCTGATGCGTACGCACGTGCGAACACCATAACCAAGCGGAGAGCGACACTACATCTGTGCCAAAAGCCTTTCAGGGCACTCCAGACGTGAAAGCAAACTCATAAACATGCAAGGCGGCCGCCGCAAGACAGTGCCAATAAGTAGGAGGGGAGCAGCAGGCAGCTGCAGCCACGAGTCACTGTGCTTACAATCGGGTCCCAGCCCGCCACAGAAGCGCAAACGTACAGACACCGCCGCCTGCTCGCAGAGCCCACTCATTCGCCGCCAATCCACGCTCAGCTTACGACACCACATCTGGATGCCGTCCCAAGTATCCCGCATCTTTGAGGTCGGGGACCCTGGCACCCCCTCGGCCACCGCGTGGGAGCGCGGTGCGAGACCTAGCGGGGCCCAGAACCACCCCCGCAGCCCGTAGGCAGGTGGCAGGTGGCCCGCACCGTAGAGCCTCCCCCGCCTACGCAGTAGATCGGAGTGACCCCGGCCCCACACCCTTTAAACCCGGCCGGGCATAGCCGGGGGGCGCCTGCAGTGGGACCGCACGGCGGAGAAGGACCGAACCCTGCGGACCAAGACCGCCCCCCCCGGGACCAACCAGGGAGTGCGTACAAGGACCACGGGGCAGGGCCCTTCCTACCGCAGCGAAGCCACCGCAATGGTCACGACTTGGCGGACTTCGCTTCCCTGGGGCCTCGGGCCCGCCGAGTCGCGGGCCGAGTCGAGGAGGAGGGAGAGAGGAGGAGGAGGAGGAGAGGAGGAGGAGGAGGAGGAGAGAGGGGAGGAGGCGGAGGCGGAGGAGGAGGAGGTAGAGGAGGAGGGAGGAGGAAGGAGGAGGAGGAGGAGGAGGAGGAGGAGAGGAGGAGGAGGCGGAGGAGGGAGGAGGAGGAGGAGGAGGAGGAGGGGAGGAGGATGAGAGGGGAGGAGGGAGGAGGGGGAGGAGGGGAGGAGGAGGAGAGGAGGAGAGGAGGAGAGAGGAGGAGAGGGAGGAGGGGAGGAAGGAAGAGAGGAGAAGAGGAGTGGTGAGGGGGGCCCCCGTCGCCGCGGCGGGGCGGTCGTCCGCCCTCGTCGCCCTCGAAGTCCTGGCCACCGCTCGGGGGCTTGCTCTCGGAGCCGATGTTCTGAGGAGAGGGCCGTCCCGGCCGCGGGGCGCCGGGGGAGGAGAGGAGGAGGAGGAGGAGGGAAGGAGTAGGAGGAGGAGGGAGGAGGAGGAGGAGGAGGACGGGTGAGTTCGATTTTCGGCTAGCTTGACCCAAGACGTCTATGGCACGGATAGTGTCACTCTGCTACTCTACTTGTTGCTAACACATGCCTGCAATATATCTGGATTATGACTCTGGTCCTCCTGGCTTGTAAGAAGGATCACTTTAATTAACACACGCTGCTAAAAACAAACAGCAAAACTAGCTACCGTTCCTCGGACCCTAGTCGAGCAAAGCAATCATTCTGCCCTAAGGGTACTCGAAGAAATCGAAGAAAAGCTTATCAATGTTGGAATAGTCGATGAACGGCAGCTTCTTGCTTGAAATATAACCATATCTGGTAACATTGCCCATTCGACCATGAGCCGTAAGATCGTAGTCTGTCCTGTCCGGGTCGTCTAACTTCAAAAGATGCGGAGTGCGTGATACATGTCGCCGACCGTCTGTGTACTGTAAGTCAGCGATAATATCTGATAGGAAGAACCATCAGTGCCGTAGAAATTCCTGTCCTCTGTGACTTAGTCCATATCCCGTAACCTGGTCGCCATGCACACCGATGGAGATTCTGCCCATGAAGGTTTCATGCTGATCAGGTCGCCTTCGGTTACCGTCACTGCTGGAGCATCGTTGGTTGCCACCAGGCACTCGATGCCCTTGGTCTCCACACGCCAGTAGCCGTAGGTCAACAGATCGTAGAGAATCTCCGATTTCATGCTCTTTGTCAACCCGTCTGCCACCATGGCTGAGGTAGGACACCAGAAGAAACGCCTGATGTAGCCACGAAGCCGATCTTCTCGTATTGAGAGCACGTACAGTCGTTGATGTCGATCTTGGGGTACGCCCTTGAGGCCGACGCTGAGCTCGAAGAAATCTCTGCAATCTGTCCAGTGGTCGCTAGGTATCACGAACTCAGCGTGATCCTGGATCTGAATCAACTGCGCCATCGTGCTGCCTTCATGTAGAGGAAGTTGGATGCCCGGAGCAAATAACTCCGTCAATCGCATGGCAATCATCTGAGCCAACTCTTTGCCAACTACGCCTGCCAACGTCTCTGCCCGTGTCGTGCTGCCTGAAACTCTTTTGGCCTTGTGAGACAGTGAAGCTATGATGTGGCAGAACTTGCTGAGCTGCTGCTTGGAGTCGCACACCTGCTGGTAGTGAATCGACCTCGTCGGCACAACCTGCACGCGCTTGTCCGAGCCCAACAAGATAAGCACTGTCTCCTGAGCGTAAGAGCTTCCTGAGGTAGCTCCACTCGAATCTGCCACCGTGTCTATCACGAATGGAGGAGAGATCTTCGGAAAGTAGAGCCCCACGTTTGCCGCGTACTTCTTCACACGAGCTAGTAGAGTTTCGGCCATCTTGATGTGCTTGATCGTTGCTGATGCCGTATTCTGCTGGATAATGACCGTGTGTGCGATCGCGTCCAATCGTGTCTGACATAACCACAGCAGACCGCCCAGGAGCCCACGCCATGCCTTGAGCTCCGTGGAAGTAAGTGGAGAGTCGTCCTGAGCTGCTCGAAGCTTGCCGAGAGGAACTGGCTGGAGGTTCTGGCAGAACTCGTCCTGAGACATTCGAATGCCGAAGTCGGTCTGCTCGTGTCCGACTCTCACGTGGTTCATAGGTGGTTGCTGTCTAGTAGCTCTTCCAAATCTATCCGCGAACTTGCTGTAAGACTTGTTGAGCCACTCGTCGCTGCTCGCGTTGTTGTTGTCGTCAACATAGGAGGTCGCAATTGCCTTGAGTTCTCCTGGGGATTCCATCCAGAAGTAAAAACAGTCGTCGAAAGCCGAGGGCCTGCCGCCAAGCGTCTCTATCATGAAGATCTGCATGACCACCTGGAATGCCAACGGTGCGTCGTTCAGACCATACATCGCCTTGAGACACTCCAGAGCCTACATGTCCCAGCTGCCTTGTCTTGGGATCGATGCTCCTAAGATGTCGCCAGACGTTGGCCGGTGGAATGATGCACACCTGCCGCTCCGGAGTCTTGATGCCGCGCTTGCGCAAGACCTCGTACATGTCCTTGAAAGGTAGTCCCTTCAAGAAGGCGCCTGTGACGTCCCAGCTCTCAATGGTGAAATCGTATATCGCTGCCAGTGAAACCAGAAGCCGCTGTGACAGCCGAGTCGCCGTCGTAGCTCGCTTCGAGAGTGGTGCACCTTGACCGTCAAGAAAGCCTCTGGCGCACAGTCTGCTCTTGACGATCCACTTCATCTCGTTGCCAACCTTGATCTGCTTCCACTTGCGAACCCAGACGCAATCAACTGGATCCTGCTTGCACTTGCTCATGGGTATCGGTTTCCACGCGGTCGCCTCGACGAACTGCTTGATCTCCTTGAGGTCTGCTGCCTCGAACAGGTCGAAGTGTTCCACCACGTCGTTTGGCTTCAGGATGAGCGAGTCCGAGGCCGATGCGAAACACTCGCCAGTGAGGATGTCGAGATAGAAGCAATGATCCTCGAGGAAAGGTCCATCAAAGGATATGTAAGCTTGGTTGCGTGTCCAGCTGCTTGGTAGTTCGTCGCCATCAGTGAGATTGAAGCCCTCGATGTCTGAGCAGAAGTGTTCAGCTATGAGTGCCTGCTGCTCCGTCATGGACTTATGGTACTCGCCCCCGTAGTCCTTGAGCTCGGGAACTAAGTCGATGCGCTTGGTGAAGTACTGCTGGTGCTCAATCAACTCCTGCCGAGCTGAGCAGTAGAACACGTCAGACGATCCAGAGTGAAGGTCCTCACGCTTGATGCCATGGGCAGACCGAGACCTATCATCATGTTCAGGATTGTAGTCGATGGTCTTGTCTTCGTCGTCGTCCCGAGGCTGCTGCTGAGGATATTCGATCGTCGCGTCCGGTGAGCTCTGCTGCAATGGAAGGTGAACAGATCTGGACCGCTCGTCGTCGTGCTGAGGGTACTCCAGAGTCGGCTCTGCTGCTTCAGCTGCTTGATCAGAGTGAGGTGGATACTCGATAGTAGGTTGATCAACTGCTTCTTGTACTTGCTCTGGTGGAGCTGGATATTCAATGGTAGGTTGTTCCGCTGCATCCTGTGCTTGATTCGTGTCCGTGTCGAGCCTGCGAGACCTGCTCCGATCATGGTCGTCGACTGGGTCGGTGCCGTCACCTTGAGCTGCTTCGGCAATAGGCAAAGCAGGACCCTGCTCGTCCGACGATGCTGCCGCCTGTGATCCGCTCGATGATGCTGAGGGTGAGCTCGTACCTGGATTGTCAAACTTGACGCGCTGATCTCTTCGTTCACGCGTGCCACGCTTCAGAACGGATGTCTGTGTCCGAGATCTGTCGTCGTCACGTTCACGAGCTTCTGCCTCTGGTGCCGCAGAGTCTGAGGTAGCCGCGTCCATGCCCACTGGTGAGTCAGGAAGCGCCACTTGTCGCCAGTCCGGTGATGCTGGGGCCTGAGGTGCTGGAAATATCGGCGTCGTTGGAATCTGCTGCGGTGGCGCAGCTGCCTTTGGTGAAGTCGGTGCTCGACTTGGTGCTGGTCGTCGCGGAACAAACTCTTCATCAGATATGCTGATATCGTGATCTGTCGCCACAGCTCGCTTTTGCACAGGTCGACCTGGACGATCGTCTGGAGGTCGAGGAGGCGCAGGTGGCGCCAAGATAGAGGTACCAGACCTCGACACTGTCTCAAGCGTGCTGTCCATGTGCTGCGACTGGTCATTCGGTGAGAAAGCCGAACGTGGTAGCACTGGCTGCTGAGGTATCTGTGGCGGTCGTCCTGGAGACTGTGGTGGTTGAGGAGGCTGTGGTTGCTCGCCTGCTTTCATGACTGTGTCGTCGTAGCCTGGAGGCTTCCACCACTCCGTCGGAGGTGGCGATGGCAAAAACTGCGTAGGAGGCGTCCAGGGCGCGTCGTCTATAAGCTCGATGCTCGAGATGTCCGAAAGATCTGGTACTGCGTCCTGAACAACCGTCTCCTCGTACTGCTCTGAGACATAGATGATGAACGAGTAGTTGCTCGGCGTGTCTGGCAAGATGATCGCCAGCCGCAGAGTATGTCCCAGGTCCACTTGTCGCGCTTGATAGCTGAGTCGATCTCGTCGAACCCATGCTAGGATAACCCCTCGATTGATGCCGTGATAGGTGTTGATGGTGTGCAGTTGCGTGCCGAACCTGATGGCCCTTGGAGCCGCCAGCTGCAGCAGAACCTCGCCCACTTGAGCTGCCAGACGAAAGACCTCGGGAATGTTGACCTCGAAGTCGTCCGGCACGACAATCTGCATGCCGTTGGCGTCGTGAACCATTCCAACCGTGATCGTGGTGCCTGGTGCCTGGCCGTCAACGATGTCAAGTAAGCCGTGCAGTGTCGTGTACATATCGTCATGCATGTTGTCCTGCCATCTGCCTTCTCCGTCCATCAGCATGCGAGTCGGTGGGCGCGCCACTGTGACTGCATGCGATCGTGCCTGATGTGGTCGCACATGCCTGAACGGAACGATGTATGGCATGGACTGGTGCTTGACGATCGCCACGTTCTCCTTCGGGTTGATGTCCAGTAAATCGCACGGTCCTCTCCACCCGGGCGCGTCCTTGCGATCAGGAACTCGGTGCAGATCAACGAAGTCCTGCAGGGGTCGTAGCTTGGCCACGTCTGAGAGGATCTGCACCTTGGTGTTGTTAGCCTCCGCGATGCGCTGCTCGATGACTGCCTTCTGAACTGCCGCCTTGGCCATCATCCTGAGCCTGAGGTAGGACTCGAAGGTGTCTGGCGTCGTGTCGCGTGCGCCGTCGATAGCAAGAGTGGAGTTGGAGCCGTGATCAAAGAAACCACGTGGATTCTGTCCTTGCAAACACTGAGATGGTGTGTAGCCACCGTGCTCAAGCATAAAGTTCTGGCACATCGTACACTCGAACGCTATGTCCTCGTCGGGAACCACGAGACCTTGCTTGGCCGCGCTGGCCTTGCACTTCAACGACGATGTCTTGATGAGGCCGATGTGTCGTTCTGCAAGCCCCGTGGCTGTGTGCTTGCCTGAGTCGTCCGAGCCGCCCAGCTGTCTGTGTATGCTGTAGCGGTCGCACACCACTGCAAAGTCGTCTGAGCGAACGCCGCCTTCTTGGTCGAACTTGATGCACTTGGGAGGTCCGAAGTACCGAAACCAAGCTCGTAGCATCGCCTGAGCTATGTGGAACGCGTCCTTCTTGGGTAGTACTTCGGCCAACTTCCATCTGATCGCCTCGTCGACCATGAGCAAGAAGGTCTTGCCGAATATGAAGAAGAGGTCGCACACCATGACTTCGCCGAACCAACCTGCCAACTCTGCTCGATACTTGGGTTTGGTCGCAATGGGTGCCCAGTCGTTGCACTCCTCACATGCTGCAATGACCTGCTTGGCCAGCTCCAGACACTTGTCCGGTACACCGAGCCGCCTGAGAAACTTCTCCATGCCTGGTAGCTGCTCGTGCCAAAGTCGTTCATGAAGACCCTTCAGCAGGCGGAAACGTTCGGCGTCGGACTCCGTCTCTTTCAGCTGTTGCCTCAACTTGGTGAAGTCGAAGCTCGGAGGTGTAGTGATGAGCTTGAGCCTAGGTAGAATCCTCCGCTCAGCGTATTCCTCCATCGTGGCTGGTGGTGCGTAACCTTGAACCACGATAAGCCACTTGTGTCCTCGAATGCCGTGATGCTGCTGTGCTGGAGTAAGTCCGTCAAGCCGTTCCAATGTTGATGATTCCCATTTGTCGATATCTGCGCCGAGGAAGGTAACTCGAAACGGGCTGTCATCTATCGATGTGGTGTTGGATGTCTCCAAGCTGTTCGGCTGAAAGGTGATGCGCAGTGAGTCGACGTCCATCAGTGGTCTCAGTAGCTCGATCAACATCTGAGCGGTGCCGTCGGTGTTGTCGCCCAGGTCGAGCTGCTGCTGAGCGTTGGGTGCTGTGAGTATTCCTGTGTGCTGTCCCGCCAGGTCTGCCAAGATACGAGCCAACCATATCTGATCTAAGTTCTTCAGCTGCTCGTGAATGTTCATGGTGAAGTCGTCTACCTTGACTCGCCGTAGCCGGTCGTAGGCCAACTTCATCTTGACAGTACCGTTGGCTGGTCGCTGTAGTGGTTGTATTTCTCGCGTCATAGGTACTACGGCTGCTGCTGGTGCTGCTGGTGGTGCTGCTGAGCTTGATGCCGAAGCCGAATTTGATGCTGGTGCTGCTGGTGGTGTCGCTGAACTTGATGCCGAAGCCGAATTTGATGGTGGTTGTAGGATGTTCTCGTCAAAGTTTTCTAATTGTCGTGGATCGGGTGCTGGAGCCGTTGGTGCTAGCTGTCGAGGTGGAGCTGACGCTGCTGGTGCTGCTGCTGCCTTGGCTGCTGGTGCCTTGGCCGCTGGTCGTGTCAACGTCCGTCTGGGATCTGCTTTGGGTGCCAGCTTGCAGTTCCCTGGAATTCTGCTGTGCTCACGCTCGCCGCCGTACTTGCACTTAGGGCAGCCCCAGAAAGTCTCCGTGTCGTTCTTCTGAGTGCGTAGTCCAGTGCTGCCAAAACCATTCTTGCCGCGCTCGGTCTCGTCCTCGTCAATGTGGTCCTTGAGCTGTACTGGTGGAGTCTGGATCTGCACGATCATGAGCTGAGCAATCCTGTCGCCACTCTGGCATACAAAGCGAGACTTGCCACGATTTTCCAATATCACGATGAGCTCGCCTCTGTAGTCAGCGTCGATAACTCCTCCATTGATGCCGAGACCTTGCCTCAACGCCAGGCCCGACCGAGGCCATAGCTGGCCAGCAGTGCCTGCTGGAAGTGCCAGCTTGAGCCCGGTGCGAAATCCACGCCATTGTCCAGGTTCCAGAAAGCCATCAGTAACCGTAGTGATGTCGTATGCCGCCGCACCGTCGCTGCCGAGCTGAGGTGCCGTCGCCTTAGGGTGAAGTAGCTGAACTCGCACTGCTTCTGTGTTCGGGCCGCCGTGATGTATGTCGATGTTGCTATAAACGAGCGTCGCCAGCATCAGAGCGCAGGTGAACTTGCGCGCGAAGGAGGTGATGTCGCTGATGAGTGCCCGGCGCATCGTGCGAGCGCATACCGTAGTAAGAGCTGCAGTCTTGGAGCTCGAGCCTGGTACTGAGCCCTCGATAGCTGCATGTCGTTGAACTCCATGACCAGGGCATCGTCGGATGGTCTTCTTCAGCTGTATGTTGGCGTCGAGCCTGCAGGGCTTCTCCAGCGGCCCGTTGTTAGAGTTCACACAGCCGTGAGCACATCCATCGACTCGCCGAGTCCTATTGCTGACGATGTCCTGATTCTGCTTCAGCGGTGACTGTGTCCAGAGCTGAGAGCGCAAGCCGTTCTCGTTGATGTAGCCATGTCCGTCTTGATCTTGAACGACGTTGTCGTGATAAAGCCACTCCAGCATGGGAAACTCTGCTTGTCGTTCGGCTGCTGCAACTCCAGCTCCTCGCATGTTGCTCATGGCCGTCCATAGCCTGCAATCTGGAGATGAGAGCTTGACTATGGGCTTGAAGACGGTCTGGACCTTGCTCACCAACTTCCGATGCTCGGGGTTCATGAGGTCCCAGCCGTAGCGGTAGTCGACTGGAAAGAGCACTGTGAGTCCGGACCTTACTGCTGATAATGAGAGCCTTCCTGATCCAGACCACTGCTCTTGAAAAGCCCAGACTACTACTTGAAGGCCATGATGAATGTGAAACCACTTGTCGAAACTGTCTGGAGTCACGACCTCGTAGCCTGTCTTGGTGTAGAATTCCTCTGGGATGTCCTTATATCTCTGCTTCAGCCACGCCACGTGCTCGCTGGAGAGGTAATCTGGGAAGCCGTCCTCCATGTAAACCTGACCGCCCCAGTGCCGAAGCATGCCGTGGTGTTCAGCTGTGCCAGTAAATATCGCTGCGCTGGTAGGTGCACGGTCCACAGGTGCTTCTTGTCCGGTAGTGCTGCCGTCCCTTGGTGCCGAAGATGTTGATGCCATGAGGTGTGTCTTCTGCGGAGTTGAACTCTGGTCCTCCTGGGTGCAAGAGGAAACGAGTGCCGCAATATCTGCCTTGAGAATCTTGGCGTTGATGTTCTTCACCGTGTGCATCAGCATCTCGACCACTTGAGCTGAAACTGCTGGTTCCTCGCGCTGCTGACCTTCGGGATCGTCCGTCGGCAACAGGTAGTGACTGCTGTCCGTGAGAAGGACCCTGACCACATGCACGTCCGACGGGTCACTGTCAGAGGCCAGCACAAGAGCTCCATTGCCGTCATCTGCGAGTCCATGTACGAGTAGAGCTCTGTAGTGAACCAGACGAGGCAGCGGCAGCAGGAACGGGCAGTTGGAGCCGCTCTCGCCGATGAGGTCGCCGTGCCAGACCAACTCGAGACGGGAGCACCGAGCCTTCTGTGCCACATGTCCCAATCCAGTAGTAGGTCTGCCATTGATGCCCGTGAAGCTGCCTGATCCTGGGGTGATCTTGTAGTTCTGAGTGTCCTTGCCGTTGTGCTGCAGCAACGTATCTGTGCCACAGATGCCAGAAGCCGCTCCAGGGTCGATGATGAATCCTTTGCGCTGTCGACCTCTGACAAGATGGTACGCCTCGAAGGTGTCCTCGCGCTCGCTGAAGATGCTGAGGACAAACGCTGAGTTGTTCGTGTCGATCGAACTTGAGCTTGCTTCTGCTCTGCTGGTCGATCGTGCTGCGGGTAGATCTGGGTACTGCTGCTGAGTAGGTAGGCCCAGCCCGAACATAGCATGCCTCTTCTCGTTCCGAAAGAACTTCGAGACCGTCGCCTCGCCGAAGTCGAAGATACGCTCCTGCATGAGCTTGTCGTCCGAAACTGTGGTGTGAGCGTCCGAGGCCTGCTCCGATGGTATGTTCTGCCAGGAGTCGGCGTCGCTCGAGTTCGGTCGAGTCGGAGGTCGAGGTGATGGTCGCCATGGATCTGTCTGCTGTTCGAACCAGGGATCCTTGCCGTCATAGTCTGCGATGTCCTCTTTAGTGGCCACGCCGTGAGTCTCCTCCTCGATTCTCGCTTCTTCTTTCCTGATTGCCGTCAAGTATCGTTGTTCTGCCACTGCTTCTGGATGTCGCTTTATGCTGTCGTAGCCGTCTGGATGTCGGTTTATGCTGTCGTAGCCGTCTGAAGGTGTCGAAGGAGGTGGCAGCGTGATGTCTGTCGCCGTCGTTTCCTTCGCGGTGTTGGTGCCGAGCCCGACCAGGAAGCCTTTTCTGCTGGTAGCCTTGTTGACCGGGCAATCCTTCACGCTGTGCCACCGGCTGCCGCACTTATCACATCCAGAGCTTGATCCTGAACCTCGCGTGTTGTGTACGGCTGATCCTGCGGGAGCTTGAGGTTGCTGTCCAGATCCTCGATGCAAATCCATCACAGGGCCATGTCGATCATCCGAGCCTGTACCTTTGCCCTTCTTGCCTTTGCCTTTGCCCTTACTCTTGCCCTTGTTACCATAATAATGACGTCCTCGCCGATCCTTGCCACCTGCCTTGCCGCGACCAAACGTACGTGATCTGTTCTTGCCTTTGCCACCTTTGCTTGAACTCCTGCGACGATGTCCGTAGCCACCTTTACCATTGCCGTAGCCTTTGCCTTTTCGTCGCCCTCCGTACTTGCCGTAGAAAGCCAGATCATGAGGAGGACCGTCGAGTGGGTCATCGAGTAGAGCTTCTTCATCATCATAATCTTCATCCTGTTCGTAATCTTCATCATCTTGGTAATACCATGCCTGAAACTCGTTTGCACTCAAAGTGCCGTCCCAGCAATCAGTGACCATATATGAGAGATAATCCATGTCTTCCGAATCAAGGTTGAGGTAATATGCCTGCTCGTAGGTGTAGTCATATATGTACCAGCTTCCGTCGTGATCGGTGAAATACTCAACCTGGCTATGTTCTGGTTCTTCATCATCATCATCATCATCATCATCATCATCATCATCATCATCACCATCATCATCATCATCATCATCATCATCATCATCATCATAAGTCAATAAAATGCCTTGCGTGTCGCCGTCGCCGATCTCCTTCTGTCCTTTGCTGAACTTCATCAACAGCTTGCAAATCTCAGTGAACTGGCTCCTGTCGCCGTCTACCGTGAGCATCAGGTCATCTATGAATCTCGGAGCCAGTCCAGCCTTGCCGAGCAAGAGGTGTGTCAAACCGACTTGGTTGATGTTCAGCGTCGCGTGCTCTTCTGCTGCCTCATATCGTAACTTGAACGCCGTTAGATAGTCCAAGAGCGAGTGCGAACCACGATGTAGGTCGAAGAATCTGTCCAGGTGGAACGCCTGCAAGTCTTGACTGTCGTCGCCGAAGGCCGTTCTGAGATCTGCCAATATCTGTTGCAGTCCTGAAGGTGTGGCCAACAGGCCAGCGTTGAGGTCCTCAGGCTCCGCCAGAGCGTTCACCGCCTCGTCCTGGTAGAGCATGCTGCCGTCCTGGCGCGTGAGCCGTATCTTCATCGCGATGCGATAAGCCGAGCCCTTCAGTCTGCCAACAACCACGCTGCCCTGGCAATCGCCAGGAATATCTGTCATTCTCATCCAGAGCCGCAACTTCTCCTCGTAGGTGATCAGCGAGTAGTTGCGAACGTATGGCCGCCATCCTGGCGGGCACTGTCTCGTGTACTCGTCCAGCGGGATGCCCCGAAGGTCCGCTGAGGCCGCCATAGTGTATGGCTGATGTCGTCCTTGTAGATCTTGATATGCTCGAAGGGGTGCTTGTCAACGACGGAGTCGCTGACCTTCGCGAGCTGCTCGGAGGAGCCCTCGCGGTACTGCTGCTCGAAGATATTTCCGTATGTGTGAACTGTGGAGTCGTTGAACTCCTCGATCTCCTGAGAGCACGAGATGAACAATCCACGAAATACGTAGAGTACCTGAGAGATCGTAAAATGAGCTTTACGATATCGAAAGGAACTACGGGTCCGAGGACCGGTAGCTCCGCTACCAAAGTCAGATTTTCGGTTAGCTTAACCCAAGACGTCTATGGCACGGATAGTGTCACTCTGCTACTCTACCTGCTGCTAACACATGCCTGCAATCTATCTGGATTCTGACTGGGTGGGAGG